GGTGACCCCTGGAAATAGCACTTTAAAAAAAAATAATAACGCTTTCCAGGTTCAAGCTATAAAGGTATCAACATAATGAAGTGACTTGTCTCTTCCAGGACATTCTTGATACACGACAAACATTCATGTTTTCTGTGCATTACTAAATAGGCTGCTGGTGATTACATGCACCGAACTAATGAGTTTGAGTGCTCTCAGGGTAAATTTAGGGCCTTTTGTGCTTTGCAGCTGAACTCATTTGTTGCTTAGTGATCAGAGGCAATTATTCACTGCTATGAGTTTTGTTATTTTTGTAGTTACTTTGGGTCTTGGAGTCTTGTTTTGAAAGTTGAGGGTTCCAAATATGTTATGGGACAGATGAGGCTTTTACTGTTCTTGTCCTACCTTGCTAGAAAATGGCAGATGAAATCAAGCTCAGAATTCTCCTTGGTTGTCTGTTTTTTGTTTTTTTTCTGGACTCTTCACTATCACTTCCAGAAGTGATACACTCTCTGGAGGTATAACAATTTTCTTTGTTTTCCAGGCATGAACGTGGGAGAAAGAGTAAACTACCTCCAAAGTTCAATTGAAATAGATTGGGATTATTGAAATGAGACTTCACTCAAAAACCTAAGGGAGGGGAGGAAGGGAGAAAAAAGAAAATGACACCTGGGACAGCCTGTGCAGTCCACAGTTGGGAAGGCCAGGTGTTACGCTGAAAGGCGGCTGTGGGGTTAGGCAACACCACCCCCTAGTGGGCATTCCTGTGCTGTGCACCAGCCTGCTCCACTCCCATAAGATTGCCCAGGGTCCTTGAGATAGTAGGAGCTCAGATTGTTTCTGGTACTTCTTGAGGAGAGTTTGAGTTTCGTCGACGGATGAAGAGAAACACCAGGGTTCTGAGACAGCATTGCCAAGAGGAAAAGGTACAGGTCAAGGAGCTCTGCCAGAATGTCAGGAACTTGACGAGACAGAACAGGGATTGTTGGAACAGCAACCCTAAACTTTGGAAACAACCCTAAACTTTGTGTCAACTAGGCCAATTTAGTTGTAGATATTTTGAGAATCAAGAATGTGCTTGCTTTCTTTGTCTTTCTAAATATATGATATCATCATGGTTGGTTTGAAGAGTGTACCTGCCTAAGAGGAGATTTGGATTTGTAAAACAAAGGAAATGAAAGAAAATAAACTAGTGGTTTTCAGATATGTTATAGTCAAATTATTTAAATATACAGAAAAGTAGAGGAAGTAGTTTAATGAATCCTATGTACTCATTACCATCCTAAGCATTGATGAACTCATAGAGAATTTACTTCATTCTCCCCCAGAAATATTTTCTCCTTTCTCTTTGGATTATTTTTTTTTTAAGATTTATTTATTTATGCATACAGAACTAGGGTACAGACTGAGTACCTCTGAGAGGATTCACCAGACACAGAGTGGGGAGCAGAACAGGCTGACTGACAAAGTACACTGCTGAGGGGGAGCAGTGGGTGGGTCAGGAAAGGTCTGCTGTGCCATGTGGGTCACTTCTGGGGCAGGGATTGAACTCACGCTGAAGTGGCTTTAGCTTCTTAGTGCTGTGCTTTAATCTGCTGCGCCACCAGGGAAGGCTCTGCTTTTGTTTTTTTTTTTGTTTGTTTTTTAAAATATTTATTTATTTATTCGTACAGAACTGGGGTGCAGGCCAGAGATGCGGAGGGTGAGAGGATTCACCAGGGACAGAGTGGGGAGCAGAACAGGCAGATTGACGAAGTACACTGCTGAGGGGAGCAGCGGGCGGGTCAGGAGAGGTTTGCCACGCCATGTGGATCTCCTCCAGGGCAGGTGGGAATCAGAACTCATGCGGAAGTGGCTTAAGCTTCTCAGTGCTGTGCTTTAACCCGCTGCGCCACCAGGCAGGGCCCTCTGCTTTTGTTTTTTAAAGATTTATTTATTTATGCATACAGAACTGGGGTATATTCCAGAGGTGCAGGGGCAGTCAGAGGATTCACCAGAGACAGAGTGAGGGGCAGAACAGGGAGATTGATGAAGTACACTGCTGAGGGGAGCAGTGGGCAGGTCAGGAGAGGTCTGCCATGCCATGTGGGTCACCTCCCTGGTGGGGGGGGAGGGGAGTCAAACTCGTGCTGACGTGGCTAAGGCTAGCTTTCTTTTACTGCGCCTTAACCTACTGCACCATCAGGGAGGGTCCCTTGATTATTTTGAGGTAAATCCTAGATATACTTTTATCTATAAATAGTCCAGTATTTATCTCTACATGAAAAGAATTATTTAACAAAAAATAAGCACTGTTAATAGTCTACTGAAAATTAGTAATGATTTTTGATATCTATAAATATCCATGCAATGCCCACACTTCCCCAATGATCTCTTAAGTGCTTTCTCTTCTAACAATTTATTTCTTTAATTGGGATAAAAATTAAATTCATATATTGCAGTGTCTTTTGTGATATGTCTGATATGTTTCTCCTTTTTTTTGTTTCTTTTTAAAAAATAATAATTTAGAAATAATTTTAGATTTACCAAGCAGTTGCAAAATAAAACAGTTTCCTAATACTCTTTTCCTAATGTTAACAGTTTACTGAACCATAGTATAATGATGAAAGCCAGGAAATTAACACTGATACAATAATATTAAGAAAGCTACAGACTTAACTATAATTTCTAATTTTTTTCTATTCCCAGGGTTTGGTCAAAATCCCCCAATATACTGCATTCACATCTCCATAGTCTCCTCCAATCTGTGACAATTCTTCAATATTTTCTTGCTTTTTATCGCTGACACTCCTGGTAGTACTGATCAGTTATTTAATAGAATTTTTCTCAATTTAGCTTTATTCTACAGCTTTATTGTGATGTAATTTACACATCATATACTTGACTCATTTAAAATGTAGAATTTGGGCCCTGCCTGGTGGTGCAATAGTTTAAAGCACAGCAGCCACTGCAGCACGAGTTCAAGTTCAATCCCCAGCCAGGAAGGTGACCCACATGGTGCAGCAGACCTCTCCTGTCTCGTCTGCTGCTCCCCTCAGCAGTTTTTTCAGTAGATCTGCCTGTACTTGTTTTTTAAAAGATTTATTTATTTATGCATACAAGAACTGGGGTACAGGCTAGAGGTGTGGGGGAGGTGAAAGGATTCATCAGAAACAGAGTGGGAAGCAGAAAAGGCAGATGGACTGAAATACACTGCTGAGGGGAGCGGAAGGTGAGACAGGAGAGGTCTGCCATGCCATGTGGGTCACCTCCTTGGCTGGCAATCAAAGTGCTGCAGTGGCTGTGGACAGCTTCATAGTGCTGTGCTTTAACCTGTTGTGCCACCACGGAGAGCCCAGATCTGCCTGTTCTGCTCCCCACTCTGCCTCTGGTAAATCCTCTTAGCCCCTCTTCACTCCCCCACTGCACCTCCCCTCTGGCCTACACTCCAGTTCCTCTGTACAAAAATTAACAAAGCAAAAGAATCTCACAGTGTGACTTATATGGATGCCAAGAGGACATAGAATTATGAGCAGGTAAAGAATTGGGAATTTATTGAAGCAGAGTCAATCTCAAGAAGAATGACAATACCTCATTCTTTTTTCTTTTTTAGAACCTCATTCTTTAAAAGAATTTTATTTATATATATTGTTACATTGTTGTTCATTTTGTACATTGTTTGATTTCTCAGGTTTAATCCCCATAAAATTACCACCACCAAGACACCCATAAACCAGCACCAGTATTTCTTGTGCTCTTCCCTCCTCTGTTTTGCTCCCTCTGCATCCTCCTTCCTTGCTGAATGTCTCTGATTTATTTTTTTCCCCTGCTAATTTCGTCTTTTTTTCCTGATCCCTAATATGGTTTTCCTATGTTCCTCCTATAAGTGAAACCATCAGCTGTTTTTCTTTTTCCTTCTGTCTTATTTCACTGAGCATGATCCCTTCCAACTCCACCCATGTTGCTGCAAATGGCATGAGTTTATCATTTTTGATTGCTGAATGGTATTCCATTGTGTAGATATATCATATCATTTTGATCCAGCCATATGTTTTTGTTTATATATCTTACTTACTGTAAGTAGTGCTGCAGCCAACATAGGAGTGTAAATTTCTTTTCAGGTTAGTGTTTTTGTAGAACACTTCTTCTAAAACCTATATGATACAGCTAAAACTGCTACCAGAGTAAACAGAGGAAAGACTATTAGAGTAGAAAAACTGAGAAGACTTTCAGAGTTCATCTTTTAGAATAAAGTAGAACAAAACAAACTATGAGTAAAATAAGATGAAATTAATATAATACTAAAAAAATTAATGAAAGGATCTATAAGTAATAATTATGCTATAAGTAAAACAATGCCTAAAAAACAAAAACTTCTCAGGCAGGACCAGTTTTTGCATTGGATCGTCCTTTATGACATCAAACCTCTTTCACAGGCAAGTTTCTTTCTCTTTAGATTAATTTATTTATGTGTGCAAGTACTGGGGTATAGAGGATCCACCAGAGACAGAGTGGGGAGTAGAACAGGCAGATATACTGAAATACACTGCTAAGGGGAGCAGTGGGTGGGTCAGGAGAGGTCTGCTGTGTTATGTGGGCAGCTCCCTGGCATGGGATCAAACTTGTGATGGTAGATAGCTTCATGTGTTGCACTTTAACCTATTGTGCCACCAGGGAGGGCTCCCATAGCTAAGTTTCTATCCAACAACATTAGAAAGAACCAGAAGACATAAAAGGTGACCTCAGACCACACAGGAGGACTGAGGGAAGCCAACAGAATGCAGGAACAAGAGGAAGATGTCTGAAGTTGGAGACCATCTTCATCACCTACCTGCTGCACCTGGCCACTACCCAGCCCCCCACCCATGCCTCGCTGACCAGTTGAGACTGGTCATGGGTCAAATTGAGAAGGATGGAAGGAAGTAGGGAGTCTGGAAATCACTGGGACCATGACATTACTCAACAAGGGGAAAGGCGTTGCTGGCTCTGGGAGGCCACAAACGGTCCAGGCTGGGATCTACAGGAGCAGAGAGATGCTATGCCTAGGTGTTCCAGAGGACGATGACCGTGGTGATGGAGATGGCCATGAAGAGCAGGTAGAGGCGGAAGAGCAGGGTGTCCATCACGTGGCTGAACTGCACCTACAGGCTGACCAAGTGCTGCTTCTGAGCCTCAGCTTCCCGCTGGGCCCATGTTGACCCGGGACACCATTCACCTCTGCCTCCCTGGGACCTGGCACCTTCCCCACCAACTCCACAGGCTCCTTCACCCCTACAGCGAGATGGAGACTGAGCGTTGGGCTGGGAGCTCCCCCACTTGGGGGGCAAAGGGGAGAGGCATGGAGGCAGGGCAGAGAAGTGGAGGTGTTGGGAGATGAGGGTGGGCAGGGCTGAGTTCCCTTACCAGGCAGGTGGGTGGGAGTGGGGCCCAGGCTGTTGTTTCCCTCCTGGGGCCCAGTGGGGCAGCACTTGAATGGGCGGGCACAGTAGAGGAGCAGAGAGTGGAGCCAGCGAGGCATGGGTGGGGGCTGGGTGGTGGCCAGGTGCAGCAGGTAGGTGATGAAGACGGTCTCCAGCAGGCTGACCACCATCAGGGACAGACACAGGGCAAAGTAGACACCTGGAGGGAAGGAGGCCCTACATGAAGGCCAGCGGCGCCACCCAGGACTTCTCGTCTCTCTTCCAGTTCCACCCCGGCAGGCACAGAGACTTCTTCCCCCAGTATATCTTTCTTCTTTGAGCTAGTTCAGTCAGCCCTTCCCACCCTTCTCTTCCCAAAGGTTGGCGGGACCATACTGATGAGGGGGGTGCCATTGGTGGGGAGCAAGTCGTTCATCATGAGCAGGAAGACATTGTAGCCCAGCAGAAGGGTTATCTTGAATGGGGCCCGGTTCCCACTTTCTGCCGGCAGGTAGAAGCTGAGGGCGTCGATGGCAACCAGAAAGCTGCTGGGCACCAGGAGGTTTAGGATGTAGAGTCTGGACCTTCGCCTGATGGCCACCTGGTGGGAAGGAGAGAGAGAGAGCACTGAAGAAAGGGTTAGGAGGATGCCAGAAATAGTAGTCAATATTTCTATCTCTGCCTTTCTCATCCAGAGATGTGCAGGATGCAGCTTCATAATTAAGCACAGCACCTGCTAAGGCAAAGCAGACCAGAGCAATGAATTTTAGTAAGGAGAATGTGGGTAAGCAACCGGAGGAAGGGTTCTGGACTCTGGCAAAACCTTACAACTTGGATATAGCCACTTGGTGGAGATTCTCGGCAAGGGCAGAACAAGGAAGCAAGGAAAAAGTCAGGGCTCTGAGCTTACGTAGAATGTGATCTGATCATACAGGTTGCTGCCCACAGGCATCTTCAGGGAGGCCTTGCTGATGCCCTGGAGCTCCCACTCCCCGTGGGTCTGAACGATGTCCTGGGACGTGTCGCTTCTTTCCCACACTTCTTTCTCCATGCCCAGCAGCATTTTATCCACTGAAAGGAAGACCCCAATCATTTTTCAAAGACATAATTCCCTACAGACTCAACAGTACTCTCTTTTTCTATGCTTTTGTTCAACACATATTTTTGAGTCGCTATCATATGGCAGAAACTTTGCTAGGAGTTGGGGATGGTAATAACAAGAGAGGCATGGGTTCTACCTTTATGGAAAACATTTAAATTTCATATTCTTTGCTCTACACATACCCCTTGATCATGTATTCATTTACTCATAGTGTCTTTTCTATTGGTTGTTCTCATTCACCCTCACCCCTCAGACCTCACTGCAACTCACCTGTGTAGAGGACTGAACTGAAGGTAAGTGTGCAGTTCTGTAGGTAAAAGGGGAAGTAGAAGGTGTCTAAGTTGCAGATACTAGCTACTTTCATGGGTTTCTTATACTTGATGTGACCTTCATTACTTACATATGCTGTGAGGCCTTTTGGGGTCTTATCTATGTCAGTGCTGTAAGAGAGGGAAGGCGGCAGGCAGGGGCTGTAGTTCTTCTTAACTTTCTGGCATTTTCCAGCCCTCTAAGACTACTTATAGTGGCTTCAGTGGTAGGCTGTGAACTCCACTGCTACCAGATGAGGCCTCCCCTTTGCCTTTCCCCAAGTCCTGAATACGCACAATTCTGTGATAAAAATGTCTGGGAGCCACAACTTCTTGGTTGCCACACTGATCTTCATGATGCCTTCACACTGCTCTGGGTTCCAGCGGATAAATGGGTTATCCCAGACCTAGAGCCCAGGTAGAGAAAAGTTGAGAGCTTGGTATGAGTTGAGATTATTTTTCCTGGCCCTTTGATTTTTATTAAAGAAAAATAAAAAGAAGTGGGTTCCTCCCTGGTGATGTTGCAGGTTGAAGCACAGCACTATGAAGCTAACTGCAGCGTGAGTTCAATTCCCAGCCAGGGAGCTGACCCACATGGCACAGCAGACCTCTCCTGACCTGCCCGCTGCTCCCCTCAGCAGTATATTTCTGCCTGTTCTGCTCCCTACTATCTCTGGTGAATCCTCTCACCTCCCTGAATCTCTGGTCTGTACCCCTTTTCTTATATACATAAATAAATAAATCTTAAAAAAGAGTTTATGAAGTATTTAAAAGTATATAAAAGTATATAAAATAAGTTGTATAGAAAAGTATATAAAATAATGTTGTATAATAAACATCTGTGTACTTACCACCCATTTTATCCCCTCCCCGCTCCCGCACACACCCAAGAAATTGAAATGACAGAATCGAAACTCCCTGTGTCTATGGGTAAACTGGTGGTGGGAATTTTACCCAAGAGGAGAAAGCAAACATTGTACAAAAAAACAGTGATGTAGTGTGTACACACACACACACACAAAGATTCCGTTAGTCACTGGTCACCAGGGATCTTCTTTTTTTTATGCAGGAGGAATAGAATTCAGAGTTAAAAGATCAATAATTCAGTTTCTCTGAGCTATAATTTCCTTAGTGTGAAGTAGTGGCAGTGATAGGTATCAAATGAAATAAGGATTTTGTAAACTGCTGTTAGGTATTATGATAAACTATTGATAGGTATTACATATCAGCATCTGGAAAGGTTTCAGCTACCTTCCAGGCCTCTTTCACCAGTCTCTATTGCTCAGAGGCCTTGAGTAAGCCTTTGGGTTCTTTGGAATCAAGAGAACTAGTATCTTCCTTTTCTTTTTGTTTAACAAACACCATCCTCTTTAGTCACTGTGATAACCTTTCTCCTTGTTTTCTTGGCAAAGACTGCTTCATTGGCAGCAATATAAGTCAATAAATACTGATCCCCAAAGAACTCAGTTTATTTATCAGATTACTGGCCCACTGAACTAGCTGATGGCTAGGATGACAAATTGAACTCAGTCCTTGGGAAATGAAGCCATAACCAGTTGATGAAATTTGTTGTTCTACCATCTGTAAGAATCATGGTGGCCTTACACTGGAGGGCATCAACTCCCTATCCTTTACTTATTTATTTAAAAGATTTATTTATTCATGCATACAAGAACTGGGGTACAGGCCAGAGGTATGGGGAGGGGGTCAGAGGATTCACCAGAGACAGAGTGGGGAGCAGAACAGGCAGATCTACTGGGGGAAGCAGTGGGCAGGTCAGGAGAGGTCTGCTGCGTCATGTGGGTCAGCTTCTTGGCCGGGAATGGAATTCATGCTGCAGTGGCTTCAAATAGCTTCATAGTGCTGTGCTTTAACCCCATGCACCACCAGGGAGGGCCCAGAACTTTATTTTCTAACTATCTGCATGAAGCAATACTTATGGTCCTCTGGGTAATCTGACAGAGAGCCGGCAGATTCTGCAGCTTCTTGGCTCAGTAAGTGCCCACCAACTGCGACAACTGAATGCCAGGAACTTGTGGTAATCCTTTCAATTTCTCCTTTTCAAGGCTGACAACCTTCTCTGGAATCTTTTTTTTTTTTTTTACATTATTGCTTATTTTTGTAAATATTGATTTCTCTTCTCACATGATGTTCCCATAATTCTCCCACCACCATAGCACCCATTACCATAATCCCTTGTGCTCTTCCCTCTTCTCTTTTGACCCTGTTCCCTCCCTGTCCCCTGCTATATGCTTCAGATCTATAATTTACCTGGAAGTTTTGTCTTTTTCCTGACCCCTTGTTCAGTTTCCCTATATTCCACCTATAAGTGAGACCATCTGATATTTATCTTTTTCCTTCTGACTTATTTTCCTTAGCGTAATCCCTTTCAACTCTACCCATGTTGCTGCAAATGGCCTGAGTGTATCTTTTTTGACTGTTGAATAGTATTTGATTGTCTGTATATACCACATCTTCTTGACCCATTCCTCTGTTTAGGTTGTGTTCACATCTCAGCGATTGTAAATAGTGTTGCCATAAACATAGGAGTGTAGGTTTCCTTTTGAATTACTGTTTTTATGTCCTTGGGTGGATTCCTAGGAGTTGCAGAAACTGTTTTTAAGGTTTGTTCAGTTGTGGGCAGACTAGTTTAGTCTCTGGGCACGTCCACTGTTCACAATTGCATTTTGTGGAACCACAGCCAGATGGAGAGCTCTGTATGCATTAGCTAAAGGTTTGTATCAGATCAGCGCTTCTCAAGTCTCATTGTGCATACAAAACGCCTGCTATAGATTGGTAGATAGGATTTACCCACCCTGGTTTGCCTGAGAAACTCTGGGTTTTAGTATTGAAGGCTGTATATCCTGAGAATTTTTCAGTCTTGGAAATGTTGGGGTGGCTGGTCATGCTAGGTGAGGGCCAAGATTGAGTGTATGTTTAAGCTTCTAAAGTGGTAAGATCAGTCAGTGCTGCCTACCTGAGAGCCACAAGGTTAATGACCGTTACTGCTCTTGTACTTCTCTCTCTTTCCCTTTAACTAGGCTTGCATTTTCTCCTTGTTTTCTTTCTTCTTATTATTAAAAAAAAAAGATTTATTTATTTATGCATACAGAACTGGGGTATAGGCCAGAGGTGCAGGGGCAGTGAGAGGATCCACCAGTGATAGAGTGGGAAGCAGAACAGGCAGATCGACAAAGTACACTGCTGAGGGGAGCAGCAGGCAAGACAGGAGAGGTCTGCTGCACCATGTGGGTCACCTCCCTGGCTGGGGATCGAACTTGTGCTGCAGTGGCTGCAAAGAGCTTCACGGTGCTATGTTTCAACACTTTACATCACCAGGGAGTGCCCTTCTCCTCAATATCTAATCAATGCACTTACAATGTAAATTTTCCACAGTTATACTTTGGCTGTATTGTATAGATTTTGATATATAGTCTTTCACTTCTAACTTGTAAATTCTTTTTTAAAAAAGATTTATTTATTTATGCATACAAGAACTAGGGTACAGGCCAGAGGTGTGGGGGGTGAGAGGATTCACCAGACACAGCGGGGGAACAGAACTGGAGGATTGACTGAAATACATTGCTGAGAGGAGCACCAGGTAAGACAGGAGAGATCTGCTGCACCATGAGGGTCAGTTCCCGGGCCTGGGATGGAACTTGTGCTGCAGTGGCTTCAGATAGCTCCACAGTGTTGTGCTTTATCCCCTTGTACCAGCACGGAGGGCTCTCTTTCTCAAATTCTATTTGGATATTTTAATTTTCTCCTTAACCCAAAATATTTGGAAATTTAATTTTAAGTTCCCAAGAAATAAGGCTTGTAGAAGAGGGGGCTAGCCTTTTGTAGTTTATATTTTCTTGTATTACATTATAGATTGGAATCTAGAAAATTTATGCTTTCTTGATTTTGTTGAGATCTGCATTATGGCCGAAAGTATTATGAGTTTAGGGAATATTCCATTGGTTCCAGATAAATTATTCAGCTTCATTTGTATGAAGTTTAATGTATTTATTAAAGCAAGTGTCTTAATTGCACTATTAAAAATCACTCTGTGGTTATTCCTTTTTTACTTGATTTTTGAAAGCAGCATATTGAAATCTTTGACCATCATTATGAATTTTTCAATTTCCTCCACGTATGTTTCAAAGTTATGCTAAGGATAAATCCTCAAAGAAGAGAGAGAAGAAACAGAGTTGGCCATACCATTTCCAGCCACAGGAATGAAGACAATAGTTGTAGCTGTTCATCCTGCCAAAAGGATTTCCTATTTAGAGCATGTTGCTGCTAAGAAGTCTGTCCATTCCCAGCTCCCATTTTGTTCTCCAATTCCCAAGGTATTAAAAAAGGGTGCTGTGCTCAAGACAATATTACAAGCTAACAAGATCTGAATTAAAGTGTATGTGCTAGGCCCTGGACAGGAGGCTTCACAGCAGGGCTGGATTCTAGCAGTAGTTCTCAACCCTGGCTGTGGTTTAGATGTACTTAAGTAGCTTAAAAATACAGGTCCTTGGCCCTCCCTGGTGGCGCAGCGGGTTAAAGCACAACACTAAGAAGCTGAAACCACTTCCGCATGAGTTCGATTCCCGCCTGCCCCGGAGGAGACCACATGGCGTGGCAGACCTCTCCTGACCCGCCCGCTGCTCCCCTCAGCAGTGTGCTTCGTCAATCTGCCTGTTCTGCTCCCGCTCTGTCTCTTGTGAAGTCTTTCGCAACCCCTGAGTCTCTGGCCTGTACCCCAATTCTGTATGCACAAATAAATAAATCTTTAAATTAAAAAAAAAATACAGGTCCTTGGTTTCCATCCAATCAAAACTTCTGGGAGTGAAGCCTGGACAATGGTCTGCATTCAGAGTAGAGAATCACTAAGTGAAAAGACATTCTCTCCATGTACTGTTATACCTCATCCTGCTGAACTGGATAGTTTTTTTGTGATCCCCTTGGGATGTTGCCATATAGCAACAATGGAGCTATTGCTGTGTGGTGAAAGGCTTTGGGGATTGCCTTCTCCAGGGCCTGGAGAAAACAAAGGCTAGTAAGGAGGACCGGAGGGGTCAGCACTCACCACATCTAGGATGGCAGACATGGTGAAGGAGATGTTCACTTGGGTGGGTATGCTGAAGTTGGTGACTGGACGAAAGGCTTTCCTGTTAAACACCGAATCCAGGAGAGCAGGATTCACGCCATGTTGGCCAAACCCTGAGCAATTGATGGTGAAAGGTCTGGCCCTTCCTGTGGTGGACATGGGAGATGAGGGAAAAAGCTTTCATCATTCCTACATGAGAAGGACCACAGGGGAGAAACTTGGGGGTACCTGTGGTAATAACAATAGCTTTTATTTACTGAACACTGACTGTGCCAGCTATAGGGTAAACCCTTTATATAGATGACTTCATTTAATTCTCCCAAGTCTCTAGCAAACAGACTTTTTATTCTCAATAATATATGAATTAACTGAGATACAATAGAAGAAATACATTCCCAAGGTCCAATAGATGATAAAAGGTGAAAACTAGATTTGATCTGAACCCAGGTTTGTCTGGTGCTGCTGTGGTATACACCCTCAGTGGTGAGAGGGAGAACTGGGGAGGAGGATCACTGGGAGGGGTCCAGGTTCCTCCCTGGTGGTGCAGCGGGTTAGGATGCAGCACTGCAAGCGAGCCACAGCCGCTTCAGTGCGAATTTGATTCCTGCCCTGGAGGTGACCCACGTGGCACAGCAGACCTCTCCTGACCCGCCCGCTGCTCCCCTCAGTGGTGTACTTCGTCAATCTACCTGTTCTGCTCCCCACTCTGTCTCTGGTGAATCCTCTCACTGCCCCTGCACCTCTGGCTTGTATGTACTTATTACATAAATAAATAAATCTTAAAAAAAAAAAAAAGAAAAAGAGAGGGGTCAAGCTGCTTGGTGCTTTCCTCCGAGGCCAATGGGTTGGGCTGGGAGCTAAATGATGGATGCTAATGTGGTAAGCTGAGTTCATGCTTTAGCATCCTTTCTGATGTTTCTGTCTCCATGCAAAGCATGCCCAAATCTATATGCAAACTGAGTCCTAGGATAGAGGTAGCCATTAGATCAGATTACATTCCTAACCTCCCCCCATCCCCAGGAGAACACATCTATTTCACCTTAACTGCTCCAACTTTCCTTCTCCCTATTTTGCTGATCAACCTTATATCAACTTTATTTTGTGGTGTTGCCTTCCCCGTCTTCTGACTAATACAGACTCCAATTTTCTTCTGCTAAAATTTGTCAGAGGAACACCTGTAATGAGAGCGATGGTTGATGATCTCTGAGCCAAGGGCAATGAGCCTTATCCATTTGCAAAGTCACAGTATTCTCCAGGCAAATCCTTAAGAAAAAGTCAAAACTAGCAAGCTGACCATTGAACTGAAGCATATAGCAAAGGAAAAAGGAGGGGGAGGGCAAAACAGGAGAAAAGAACACAAGGGAATATGGTGATGGCTCACCAGTGATGTGGTGGGGGGCATCTGTGGGGACTACAACAGTGTAATTTTTAAAACTAGTAAAAAATTTCTTGAATTATTCTATAACCAATGAATATTTGTCAGTCACCATCTGTGAGTGTCCCAAGGAGTATTTATAATGTTTGACTAAATCAGGTGTACAATGTCTCTTCTATCTAATGGCCTCTAAAGTCACTTCTGGCTCTGTCCTCTCCTGTGTCCTCTTATCTGGATGTGGTGTGACAACCTAGTGGAAAGATATATGACATTTACTGGCATCTATCAAATGCCAGGTACTGTGCTATTCACTTTCTTTCATAGAATCCTCATAGCTGGGCCCTCCCTGGTGGCACAATGGATTAGGGCACAGAACTGCAAGCAGGCTGCAGCCACTTCAGTGTGAGTTCAAACCCTGGCCTCGGAGGTGATCCACATGGCGTGGCAGACCTCTCCTGTCTTGCCCACTGCTCCCCTCAGCAGTGTACTTCATCGATATGTCTGTTCTTCTCCCCACTCTGTCTCTGGTGAATCCCGTCACTGCTCCTGTACCCAGTTCTGTATGCATAAATAAATAAATCTTTAAAAAAAAAAAAACCCTTCACAGCCCTATACGATAGGTTCTATTTCACAGATGAGGAAACCAAGACTCAAGGAAGCCAAACAATTCACCCAAGGTTATACAATTAGTAAGGTGAGGAGCCAAGATTTGAAACCAGGTCTGTCTGTCTCCAAATCCTTTGTCTTTCCACTAGACCACATTAACTCCCTGGAAAAGTAGCATACTCTATTTTCACTCTTTCCTAAACCAGAGTACTTGCATCTGATAGATGGAAGGAGATATTATGACTAAAAGTAGATGCTTTACTATCTTAGGGTGGAATTTCATAACTGAACAAAGGATTACTCTAGGAAGATACAAGGATATAGAGGTTAAATGGGACAGAAGACAAGCAGGGCTGGCTTATGGGAGAAAAAATTGTTTGGGGGCATCACTGGAAGGAGATTTTCTTTCTTTTTTAAAGATTTTTTTATTATGCATACAAGAACTGGGATGTAAGCCAGAGGTGTGGGAGGTGAGAGGATTCACCAGAGACCCAGTGGGAAAAACAGATAGATCTACTGCTGAGGTGAAATACATTGCTGAGGGGAGCAGTAGGTGAGACAGGAGAGGTCTGCTGTGCTATGTGGGTCAGCTCCCTGGCCAGGGATCGAAGTCATGTCAGTCATGTCGCAGTAGCTGGCCATAGCTTGATAGCACTGTCTTTAACCCCTGCACCACCAGGGAACCCTGGAAGGGGATTTTCTATCTATCAGAGAACAAGTATTTGGCATTATGGTAAGTAAAGTTAAGAGATAACACTGCTCATTTTAGATAATCTTTGGGAGTTGGAAATTTGAAGGAAGTTCCTAGGTGTTCTACAAGAGAGGGTCCTTGCTCCATTTTGCTCCTTTCTTACCTTGAAACAGAAGACCAAGAACAAGCTAGAAGAAGACTTTCTTCCTGTGGAACCAACTTCCTTCCATCTTCTAGTCTAAATTCTGCCTTGAGCCTGCACCAGGATCCAAGAAGCCCTAGGTTAAAGGAACACTGGCCACACCTAGAGTTTAACTTTGAATACTGACAGTGTTGGTTGACCACTGACATTTGTAACCTTCCTGGGAGGAGTGTCCTGGTTGTCTTGTTTTGCCCATGCTTGAGGTTAGTTTGCTTTAAATTTTTTTCTCTGTTTTAGATATCTTACTACAACATCTGTTTGTAGGTTAGTAAGTATTTGTCATATTGAAATTGTGGTATGATCACTCAATCTGAAGATTCATCTCTTCAATTCTGGAAAATTCTTAGCAGTTAAAAAAATTCCATTTCCTCTATTCCTTCACTTATCAGGCAGATATTGGATTATTTCCTTTGGTCTCATTTGCCACTTAATTTTGTAAATTAGTTTCCAATTGCTGTTGTAACAAATCACAACTCTGTGATTTAATGGCTTACAAAGCCACAAATTTATCATTTTTCAATTTTGTTGACCAAAAGTCTGAAATTGTAACAGGGTGGTCCCCAGGAAAAGGGGAGATTCCAGGTTCCCTGTCCCACCCAAAGGAGGGTGGAGCTGAGCAGAGAAGAGAAAAATCTGGAGAGGAGACTGTGGAGGAAGGAAGCAGGATGGAGAGCCAGAAGGGAGACCTGAGGGAGGCACGTGGAACAGAGAGACTTGTGAAGAAACTGCGTTTGCTTCTTGGCCCTGGACTGGTTGATACAGATGTGTGTGAGAGACCCATGGTGAGGTTCACTATGGCAGCATTTATCTTGATTTTGATTTGCTCTTTTCCTCCAAGATGTGTCTGGCCATTTCTGACCCTTTTCTATGTGTCCCGGCCAGAAGGTACTTTAGGCTTGTGGTGGGCTTTCAAGCCTTGCTTTGGGCCAATCCCTTTGACTAGACTTTTACCCACAAGGGGATAACTTTAGGTGCTTGATTTAGAAACTATATTCTTTGTCTTTTCTGTATTGAACACTAATTATATTAAAGTTCCTTTCCATTAAAGCTCTTCTATCTTGTCTTGATGCGTTGGATGGCAGAACCTATTTAGAGTAGGAAGGTTTGGGGGTTCAGGTGTGCTCCTTTCCCTGCCCTGTAACAAAAATGAGTCTCATTGGACTAAAAGCAATGTTTTGGCAGGGCTACATTCCCTTTGGAAGCTATATGAGTGACTCCATTTCTTCATCTTTTCCAACTTTTAGAGGCTGTCTGCATTCCTTGGTCATGGTCTCATTTCTCCACTTGAAAGTCAGCAACATTGAGCTAAGTCTTTCTTACACTGCCATCTCTTTGGTTCTTAAGGTCTTCTCTCTTCCTCCTTCATTGATAAGAACCCTAGGGCCCCACCTGGGTAATCCAAGATAATCTCTCTATCTAGTTTAGCTGAGTAACAACCTAATTCCATTTGCAACTTTAATTCCCTATAGTGATATAATCTAACATATTCACAGGTTGCAGAGATTAGAACGTGATCATCTTTAGCAGACCATTATTCTTGAGAACTTGTTTGGAGCTTCTAGCAGGGGAACACAGCCACTGTATACCCCTGACTGGAGAATGGTCCATTTGGGGAAGGCCCTCCTCTTCCACCAGGACTGCAGCTTGGGGAAGGATGCACATGGAGCTGTGTGTGCCCATGTGCTAGATCAACTGAGTCAACCTGTGCATCAGTAGGTGACAGACATTGCAGCCAGATTGCTCTAGGGAACCATTATTCTACTTAAAATACCCACTTCTTGATGTCCCTTTGAGTTCCTAGATCTAAGTTACAGGTAACAAATTCTCTTCTCAGCTCTGTTTAAATTATCAATTAATATGTCAATGATATTATTTCCAATAACTTCAATTCCAGTGATTATCATTTTATTTCTAGAAGACCTTTTAGGTGCTTTTAAAATTCATTTGTTATGTCCTGATTTTGCCCTCTCTTCTTCTCTCCCTTCTATGCTTCCTTCTCTCCTCTTCTTCTACTGCTCTGTTCTTTCATTAATACTATATTATATGGAAGTATTAAGGAAAAATCAAAATGGAGGTCAGTTTGGATATATCCTTAGATCAAGCACTACCACTATCATATAAAACTTCCTTATTTTCCTAAAATGCTGACACTGATCTTAAGTAAAACTTGTTTTCTTCATGTCATTTTGACTATATAACTTCTTAGCTGATCAACTACAAACATGTGAGCTTATGTAATGACAAAGATTCTAGTAACCAATCACAATAAAAAATAATGTAGTTATTCATGCTTTGTAAACTGAAGTTGTAACTGCTGAGAGTGAGCTTCTTAACTTCTTTAGTGTGGACATCTTTTTATTCATGAGTAAAATATTTTCTTGCATAATAAAATATTCATATCAGGTAAAGTGTTCTGAATTTTCTTTTTGACAGACTTATTTATTTTTACAATCATTTTCAACTTATATTATTGTGTCTAGTTCTTCATATGGCGTATTGATCACTTTATCTCACAATGGCTTATTTCCTAATGTGACCTGTAATTCTTGTTTGCAAACGTATCATGAGTAGACTATTTCGATGGGAGTGCTGTTTGTTTTGCATTGTGAAGTTTCCTTTTGTAAGGAATTTGCTTAATTGTTGGCTTTTGGGCTAACATTGGCCTTCAGGATTTTAGCACTCTTAGACATTATTATTATTACTATCTTTGTATATGTGGGTTGCATTTTCAATGTTATTTTAACTATTGTGGTGACATCAGTATGAATTACACCCCTCATGTTCTCATGTATATGATTCAGTATGAATTACACCCCTCATGGTCAGTATGAATTCACCCCAAATTATACCTCCACCAGTGTGCCCACAGTCCTCCATCATAGTCCATTGGTAACACTTTCCTCTGTGCTCTTCACCTTCCCCCTAACTCTCTAGTAGCCCTAGTTCTGCAGTCTGATTTCTAAAGGTTACTATGGTTTGGTTTGACCCTTTGTTTTATTTTTCTGTATTCCTCATGTAAGTGCAACCATCCAGTGTTTGTATTTTTCCTTCTGCTATTTTGTTTAGCATTATCCCCTTTAGTTCCATCCATATTATTGCAAATGGCAAGAATTTATGCTTTTTGGTTTTTTATAGCTGAGTATATGCCATTGTGTATATATACCACATTTCAATCCACTCATTCGCCCCGGGTTGTTTTCATAACTAGGTTATTGTAAATAGAGCTGCAGTGAACAAAGAAGTGGATATGTTAGTGTTAATTTTTTTAAGATTTATTTTATTTTTGTTTATGCATACTGGGGTACAGGCCAGAAGAGGCACAGGTGGTGAGAGGATTCACCAGAGATAGAGTGGGGAAAGGAACAGGCGGATCTACTGAACACACTGCTGAGGGGAGCAGCGGCTGATACAGGAGAGGTCTGCTGCCATGTGGGTCACCTCCCTGGCCGGGGTTGAACTGGTCCTGCAGTGGCTGCAGATAGCTTCGTAGTTCTGTGCGTTAACTTCATGTGCAACCAGGGAGGTCCCCATCCCATTATTTCTTAGATTATCGGGTCAGAGGGATCTGAAGCAGCAGTGATTAATGAGGTGGGAATCAGCCAATGAGGGAGCACTGTCAGAGCTAAGTGTCAGACCAAGAGTTCACAGTGGCAGACTTTAAACAATAGATGCAAACATAGTACACAATAACAAGAGACCAGGACATCATGGTGGAGGCAAAAAATTTTAAAGAATCCAAAAAGATCCGTATATTGCCAGTCAGACACTCCTTTGCAATGCCCCCAGGTCTCAAAACCCCCCTCACCCTATAGTACTTGAGCCTCTAATGAAAGTCGAAAGATCCTTTGCCCAGCCAGAAAATATGCTCATGGACTACATTTTACATATAATTTTAACAGGTTCACAAGCCATTGGCTCAAGTTTAAGAAACTTTTTTCTGATCAAAAGATCAAAAGAGAAAGTGGACTGTGTTTTAAATGTGCTTACTGCATTTGGTGAGCCAGCAGTCACTAAATTGTGCTGTTAATAAGTAATCTGTTTAGGATTCCATAAAGGGTTTTGCTTATAAGATATAAGATTGGTTTCGGACTTTACCAAGCTAATGTTTTTTGAATCTATCTGTTCTCCCAATTTTTAGAATGTTTGTACATTCACCTGATATTTTTTTCTCTTATTTGTGAAAGTTATTAACCATGGTTCTAAAATTACATCTACAAAATCTTACAGTATCCTGTGATTGAAGTAATTTAGGATTGAAGATGTTCAGTCTTTTAAATTAGTCTAACATCTGCTTCCTCTCTCCTTGAATTTGCTATTCAATTCTCTTGATTATACTTGCTTATCCCTTTCCAATCATCTTAATTATTCTACTTATAGAATATTTTTGGAAAGACAAAAATCTCTTCCCTGAAGATGAATCTTTTTCATTGTACATATTCTATTCTGAGTATACCAAGGGACTATGGAATCCTGACTCTGTTTCATACAGGTAGTTTAATTTTGGAGAAGTCTCAAGGTCTGAGCACTTTATTCTCATTTGTAAAGTAGTATAAAATTCTTACTTTATAGGTTTGGCTTGGTGATTAAATGAGATAGCATTTGAAAAAATGTTAATTTTATAAAATGTCATTTTATAGCTATTGAGTAAATGTTCTCTTTCTTTTCCGTATTAATTTCAAGGACTAGCTTATTCTAGTCAATAGACTTCCTACATTATTCTTACAAGCTCATGCTACTCTTATATTTCTGAATCCTTTTTTTTTCTTTAGCATTATCCATGGGCTTTTTTTTTTTTTGTTCTTTTGTCTGGAAAGCACTGGGAACGAGGTGCGCACAGCCCAAAAGACTTCTATAGCCTATGAGATATTTACAATTTGGGGAAAAGTTATTAGCTCCAAAATTTTAAAAGAAAATAAATTTCAGTCAATAAATATTTAATCAAATGTCAAAAATCCTGAACATTTCAGGTAACTTATACAATCTTACATTGTTATAAATAGCTACACAAGTCTTTATCCACAATTCTGG